GGATGAAAAATCTAAGAAGTGTGTTTTTCTTGGCTATGTTGATGGTACAAAAGGCTACAAATTGTGGGATCCTACTGACCACAAGCTTATAGTTAGTCGAGATGTTATTTTGAATGAAAATTCCATGCAGAAAAGGAAAGATGTGCCAGATGCAAAAACTGTTGAGGTGGAGTGCACACATGAGAACCAGCGAAATGGTGGTCAGGACCAATAACCTGAAATTATTCAAGAGCTTGAAGAATATTTAAGTGATCTTGAATTAAAAAGATTTGATAGACCTAAAAAGGCTCATGTGAGGCTTAATGACTTTGTCTTGTCTTATGCTTGCCTGATAAAAGAGAGTGAGCCGGTCTCTTTTCGTGAGGCATGTGAGGTCAATGAAGCCGATCAATGGAGAGCATCTATAGAAGAAGAGATAGAGGCCCTGCGAAAAAATAAAACATGGGATCTCGTCAAACTACGAAAGAAGCGAAAGGCAAATGGTTGCAGGTACGTCTTCAAGAAGAAGAAAGGTCCTGATGATACTATTGAAATGTATAGGCTCGATTGATTGTAAAATAGTATGCTAAAAAATCAGGTATTGATTTTGATGGGATTTTTTCTCCCATTGTGTGCATGTCCGCTATTAGAGTTGTTTTAACCATGTCTGTTGTTCTTGACTTAGAGTTGGAACAATTAGATGTGAAAAATTGCATTTTTGCATGGTGACTTAAAAGAAGAAATTTATATGACCCAACCTGAGGGTTTTATTGAGGAAGATAAATAGAATTTGGTTTGTAGGCTCAAGAAATCATTGTATGGGTTGAAACAGATGCCGATGTGTTGATACAAGCGATTTGACTTTTTCATGTTGAACTTAAATTTTTGTAGATGTGAAGCGGAACATTGTGCCTATTTCTGCGGATATGGTGATGGAAGCTTTATTATCTTGTTATTATATGTCGATGACATAAATGTCGCAGGACCAAACAAGGATAATATTGCAATACTTAAAGCTCAGGTGGCTAGGGAATTTGAGATGAAAGAATTGGGAGCCGTTAATCAAATTCTTGGGATGAGTGTACTTATAGACAGGAAGAAGGGGAAAATCTGGTTAACTCATAAGAGTTATGTGTATGCAGAATGTCAAACCACTTGTGCATATGATATTGTCTTCAAAACAATGTTCTAGCACCGAAGTAGGGAAGACACAAATGTCTTGAGTATCATATTTATCTGCAGTACGAAGCCTCATGTTTGCTATGGTTAGCACCAGATCTGACATAACACAAGCAATGAGAGTTGTGAGTAGATATATTGCAAATCCTGGCCATGATCATTGGACCTTTGTGAAATGGATCTTTCGGTATTTGAAGGGAACTTGCGATGCTGGTTTGTTATAGTGGAATGGATTTGAAAGTCACTGATTATGTCGATGTCGACTTTGCAGATAACTTGGATAAAAGGTCTACTACCATATATATTTTTCTTTGGGAAGTGGTGTAGTTGGTTGGTTATCAACGTTACAGCCTGTGGTGGCGTTGTCTTCTGTAGAGGCTGAATATATGTCACTTACTCATATACCTAAAGAAGCAATTTGGCTAAACATGTTACTTGGTGAATTCCGAGTTGGACAAAAAGGTATCGCTTCTTTGTGATAACTATAGTACATTGTTTCTAGCAAGGAATCTAGCCTTCCATGACATGACTAAACATATTGATGTTCAATATCACTTTATTTGTGATGTAGTAGAAGATGAAAAAAATTTATTGCAGAAAATTCATACTAATGACAATCTAATTGATATGTTGACTAAGCCCATAGGGAAAGAGAAGTTCACTTGGTAAGACTTCCTTAAGGCTTGTGGTTACTTGATATTAGTAACTGGTGGGGAACAATTTTAGATCATACTAGTCAGAATGGAAACATATCTTCAAGTGGGAGAATGTTGGCATGAAGCCATACTTTCTAAATATATGGCATACCTATGTTTACGGGCGAAGTTCCTAGTTTAATGGGCTGTTACGTAGTTCTATGTGATTGTCTCCTTATCACATGGGATACAAGTTAGATCCATATTTATAGGATAAGGAAGATCTCATTAACTAAGGGCATGGTACGTGATAGCTCCTTTGTACTGTAGACTTTCTATTTTATGGGAAACAGGACATTAGAAGATATAGGAAATCTAAGAGGCTTAAGAAAGCAATCAAAAATAGGAATGGGAAAGAGGCTCACATGAGTCTCATGGTTTTGTAGAGAGAGAAGATATGTGAGCAAGGAAAAATCCAGAGAGAAGAGAGTTAGTTCTACAGTCCTTGGATGGCTATTCTAGTGCGAGAAAGACCATATTTTAGAGCTTGAGAGAGAGAGAGAGCTTGTAATCCCTTATATTCTCCATGTTTGCATGGTGTTTTTCTGATTAGTGGAAGAGAACTTTGCTGACCCATGGATGTAGCAACTTGTCAAACCACGTAAATCTTTGCGTTTATGTTTTTTTATTTATTTCCCTTATTTTTGTCAAATTTTGGTTTTTATCTTCTACATCTTTAGAAGCCATTTTTTTCCTTCTAGAAGCTAGTACATGAAGGATTCAAGGCAATCGAGTCTTATAGAGAAGTCTAGCTCCTTTCCTCAAGGCATGGAGGCAACCGGGGGTATGGGAAGCCTCGAATACCCTCATCGGGGACTGAGCAAGATTTGCATCATCTAAATACATAGACGATGCAAGTGGCTGCAGCCCAATTACAATAAATAGGGCTGAACCCTATAGAAACTACATCCTTTTAAATATCTTTTAGGGGCACGTTTGGTAACTAGGAATTTCATGAAACTTGGAAGTTTTAGTTCCTAAAAGCTAGATCTATTGATTGGAAAAAGTTTTGGAATACTTATCTTATAACCCATATGGAGTTCTTAAATATAAAGATCAACCTTCGCATTCATCTAACAAAATCTAGTAGCGATTAAGCTTCATGGAGATGATTAGGAGAGAGAAGTAGAAAGAACTCAGAGAAAGATAGATAAATAGAGGACTTAGAGAGAGAAAGAGAGGGATTTTAGAGAGAGAAAAAGTATTGTTAGAAAGAGAGGATTTAGAGAGAGACAAATGATAAAGTTAGAAAGAGAAATATCTTTTTTAGTGTGAAAAAGAGAAATGTCAAATTCAGATAGAGAAAGGAGTGAGAGAGAGATGATACAATTAGAAAGATGGCTTAGAGAGAGAAGATACAATTAGAAAGAGATTATGCATTGCTACAGAGACCAGTTCAAGGGAGAAAGGACATGGTTAGGAAGAAAAAAATTATATTAAAAAACTGCATTGTTAGATAGAGGGTTTAGAGAGAAAGATAGATGACAACTAGACGAGGAAAGTGTGTGGTTGGGAAGACTTATAGAGATAAAAGGCATGGTTTAAAGAGAGGAGCTTTTTTTTTTTTTGAAGTCGAAGAGGGTCATTTAGGGCTAGAGGAATTGAAGAGGAAAAAGGTACAATTAGAGAGAGATGATATAGAGTGAGAAAGGGCATATATATGGAGACAATTCAAAGATAAAAAATGCTTGATTAGAGAAAACAAGGATATAAGAAGTAAAATAAGAAGGCAAGAGGCAAACTTCCTAGAAAATGGGATAAGCAAGCTTCCACATGGGGATAAAACCTACTGTCGTTTTTTTTCTTTAAATCGGGGGGGGGGGGGGTGAAACCTACTTGTTCTCATTTTTTGGTAATCAAAACTTCATACAACGAGATTCCCTGAGCACTTCTAATTAACCAATAAAGAAATGCTACATAAAATGGAGCTTCAATCTTCTATGGCTAGAAGTCCCATTCAACCTTCATGTTCTTATACTATTACATGCTTTATGCCTAACGCACCTTCAACCATTGAATCAGTAGGGACTAACGCCTTAAATCAGTAGGGACTGAGCTTGATCCTCTCAGTCTATCTCAGGCAATTCTTGCGTTGGAATAGTGTATGATATAACATAAAACAAATTTTTTTTTTTTTCCAGAGATGAACAATTTTGAGATGGGTGCGGTTCGTATAAATCCGAGGCTTTAAACAATCAAAGTAAAGTGCACATTCAAATAGTGTCGAAAAATGTGGTTTCAATACTTGAAATCTTTGTGATAGCCTTAAAATATATTTCATTTCAAATTATAAAATTTAATGCTTCAAAAAAAGTGTAGATCAAGCAGATCTATGAAAATTTCAAAAACTTGAAAATTGACGATCAAAAAATGCATTACAAGATGCACTACTTCTAAAACTTGAAATCCATTTTTTCTCATGTCCATGCATCTTGAGGTCGAGATGATCGATATGAAGATATTTGGGTATCAAAACAATCTCTTCTAGTGAAATTTTTGAGATACACCCTAATTTGATTGTTTAGAGCCTCTAGAGCCTTGCACTTATATAAACTTTTTCGTTTTGAGATTCCTTAGAATTAGATCAAGACGTCGGCTTGGAGAACTTTCAAACACTGTTCTCTATGGAGTTCCTTTTTGGAGGTTCATAGGAACTCTCAAATTTAGATACTTCTCTTGTCATCAACTCACATAGTCAAAGTCTTTTTTTCAAGAAATTCATTCTTACAAGGAATTACCAATTGGATCATCATTCCTTTCATCAGCAAAATGTTAAAAGAGGGAGAGAAAAGATCACAAATTAAGGAAAAAGGAAAAGTGGAAAAAACAGTAAAACCCGGAAAGAGAGTCTCTCTCCACCACCTAAAGCATGAGGAGGAGGGTGGCTCAATAGAAATATTGTGTGCAAGAAAGGGTTATTTGTCTGAGGCCCACAGAAAAGAGCAAAAAATAATAATAGATAATAGTAAATGAAGACTTTAATATTTCCCATTCAATGCAAGTTCCTGCCTTCACTTGCGGCCGTATCCCTGAGTTTGCCAACCACGTCTGCCGCGAATTAACTAAATTAATTTATTGTTTAATTAATATTTTATAAATAAAAGAGGAAATAATAAAAACGACCAATTTTTATCAATGCAAAGAAAGTCCACGCCCCCTTCCCCACCTGCATTTGACGTTCCCCTCTCTATCTCTGCCCTTTCTCTCCTCTCTCTATCTGTCTATTTTTTTTTACCCTACTTTCTCTCTCTACTGTGAAATCAATGCCTATAGCTGCCCCAAGGCCTATTTGTTTTTCTCCAGATCCATTCCATCCTCCATCTAGATCTCAGTTGCATGAACTCCACTGAGTTCTAGGTATGGTTTTTTGAGGACTTAATCAAAGCATCTGAAGTATCATCAAGTGGCCATGATTGAAAGGAATAAGGGGCGCATCATCATTTCTAGATCTGGTATGGATCCTGATCTCTAGGTTAGAATTTAGGCTGAAGGGGCGAGAGAGAGAGAGAGAAAAGCCTAATAGAGATGAACCCCATATCTTTTTTCTGATTTTTCTTAGGTGGGGTGGGAGAAAACTCAATTTGGGGAATTGGGGTTTTCAGAAAGAGGTATTTTTTGAGGTGGGGCGAGAGAAAACACGGATTTGGCAATTGGGTTTTTGAGAAAACGTACATCTTTTGAGGTGGGGTGACAGAAGACACAGACTTGGCAATTGGGGTTTTGAGATTTCGTCTGGAAAATGAAGGGCCAGAACCCCCTTCAACCTGGTAAGCCTTCTAGTAAGATGTTTACGCTGGGGCTTGTGGGCGCGTGGTACTCTTCAAACATTGGGGTTCTCCTCTTGAATAAGTATCTTTTGAGCAACTATGGATTCAGGTTCCCCATCTTTTTGACCATGTGCCATATGACTGCTTGTTCTCTTCTGAGCTATGTGGCAATTGCTTGGATGAAGATTGTGCCCATGCAGACTATTAGGTCAAGGATTCAGTTCGTGAAGATAGCTGCCCTAAGTGCAATCTTTTGTGCCTCTGTCGTGAGTGGGAATGTGTCTTTGAGGTATCTGCCTGTGTCTTTCAACCAGGCAATTGGGGCCACCACCCCCTTTTTCACAGCTGTTTTCGCATATATAATGACCGTGAAGAGAGAAGCATGGCTCACCTATGTCACCCTTATCCCTGTTGTTGCCGGAGTCATCATAGCAAGTGGGGTGAGCTCTGAATATCCTTTTCTTTTGTGTAACTTTGTTTTAACTATACATGAAACTTTGACATAATAACTGAAAACGCAACTTATTTTTGACTGGTTTGGAATTTAGGTCGTTCCTAAATTTAGGCTCCATTTGTTTTTTCTGTCCCTAAAAAAACTAATTGATGTAATTATGAAAAGCAGAACTTAATTTTTATAGATTGGGAATGTCGATTGGAAATTTGCTCCTTGATTTTTCTTTTATATCTTAAATAAATTGCTGTAATACCCAAAAAAATCTTATTTTTGCTGATTTTGGAATCCAGATTTGGAGTTTGGTGGGGAAGTGAATATATGGAATTAACCGGTCTATGCTGCTTTTGTTGTTTTTGGGTATTCTTTTTCTCTTTCTTTTTTTGAATGTTACTTTGTTTTTTGGGTATACTTTCAGCCTGCATTATTTGGTGGTATCTTGTTCTGCTTTCTGATAATTGAAGGGATTGTTTTTATTTGTTCTTTGATTGTTTTACCTTTATTTTCATTGAAATTTGGTTGCTTGTTTGGTGTTCTAAAAAATATTTGTGGTTTCTACTGATTACCATATAATGTTCATTGATTCTGACTTCAATTGTGTTTTGAGTAGCCCTATCTTCACAGTTTTTAGGAAGGATTTGAGTGTTTTACCTATTATTTGTTTAGTTTGACTGGTTATGGTTAATGAGCATAGCGTTGTTGTCCTTTTTTAATTTGCTCATTGGATTGGTGCAGTGGATATTTGGTTGATTTAGTTAACTGAGAATGTGGTTTTAATCAATTGTTTGCTATCATCTCCTTTTGTTTTTTATAAGTTTGATTTCTCATTATCTATTGGTTCATCTTTACAATGATTGTGTGTTCTTCACATTATTATATTTTACTGCAGTTCATGATGTCTTAAGTATTTTAGTTTACTGATTTTGGCTTTCAACTTGTTCTCTTAATTAGGGGTGAGAAAGCCTGTTTATATGTCCAAGGAATTGAACCATTGTTTACTTCTGTTGGACTTTATATAATGGAATATGATATGCTCATTGTTGTTCATGTTCTTAGGGCGAACCGAGTTTTCATCTGTTTGGGTTCTTGATGTGTATTGCTGCCACTGCTGCCAGGGCCCTCAAGTCAGTGCTCCAGGGAATACTGCTATCTTCTGAAGGGTAATGTTCTCTTCTATCATACAGTTTTATGTAACTATCCTGTACATGGGGGACTTTGCAAGGGAAAATGAACTTTTCCTACACATGCATCATCCACTTTTTGTAGGGTAATCCATCCTAGATTTGTTCTGGTTTGTGATATGATGCTGATAAGCATATTGGGTGTTGCTGTTTGTTGGAATTTGTGATGTGTATGGTTGTTGCAAAACCCATTTTGAGACTTTTCGTTCTTTCTGTTTTTCTTGGGTGCTTTTCAGGGAAAAGTTGAATTCTATGAACCTCCTCCTCTACATGGCTCCTATAGCTGTTGTACTTCTTCTTCCTGCTACATTACTTATGGAGCCTAATGTGCTGGGCATAACTGTGGCACAAGCAAGGCATGATGTTAAAGTTGTATGGTACCTGCTCTTCAATTCATCTTTAGCATACTTTGTAAATTTGACCAATTTCTTGGTTACTAAACACACCAGCGCTTTGACTCTCCAGGTATGTTCTCTGTTTTAGATTTATATCCCTTTTCTCATGGACTAAAGATCAACTAATAGATATCCGAAACTCTTCTTGGCCATATGTTTGAATGCTATAGGAAATATAATCCTTAGTTCCTTAGTTTTTTGGAGGATGCTTGGCAAATAATATGTATGATTGTTCTTGCTTTTAAGCTATAATGCATAGCAATTTTTCATCACACAATTAGCATTAGTCTTTTGTTTTGCACGTGTTTTGTTATCATCTTACATTCTTTTTCTATGTGAACTGTTTTGTGCTTAGTTTCTTTTAATGTATGAGGATTGAAAGTTTTTCTGCTCCCTTTTTGATTGAAAAATAAGGAAATTCTTGGTCAGGAATGAAGCTTAAAGGTGATATGCTCCTAAGGAGTTGAGTGGAACAGAAAACCATGTGCCTTGGACTAAATGTAAACATTCTTCTTTCTTCAGCAATTCACACAATCAACTTAGTGGGACGAAAAAAATTCAAACAGCCTTTTGTTTCTTGGCTAGCAATGTTCAAAAAGTCGGCCGCCTAGGCTGCTATTTTAAGAAAACGCCTAGGCATTCTTAAGGTGGTAGTAGTTAGGTGCTAGAACTAGGCGTCAGCCTAGGCGGTAGGGCGGTCGATTAGGCTGTCAATAGGGGGGTAAAAGGCGCTCGCCTAGGAGGGCACGCAAGGCTATGGCGGAAAAAAATTTCGGGTGGGGGCAAAAAAAGTCATTTTACCCCCTTAAAAGGGGGGATATGGGTTTGGGGGTCATTCTTGCCTTGAAAGCAAATTTAGTGAACTTTAGAGAGAGAAACAACTTGAAAAAAACTAGATTTATAGATTTTTTGAGAGATCGATTTTTTTTTCGAAATTGTCGAATGGTCACGATATTAAATGATATTCAACCCCAATCTTTTGAGGCTTGTAGGGGTTATAAAAGAGGAGATTTGGGATCCCAAACATTTCAGTTTTGCGTGAATCGAGTCCACTTCAAGAAGGTTGGTATATTTCAATAGTTTTTATTAGGTTTTGTATTTTTTTCCCTTAATGTCTAAATATGTTATTTTTTGCTATCTGTATTTTTTCTTTGATACATTGTGATATATATTTGATATTTGTCTAATCGAGTCGACTTCAATTTTTGGCTATTTGATCTGTGCTTTTGGCATCTTAACAATATATTACATACAAAACTTATTAAGTAATTCAACATACAATTTTATATAGCATAAAATGGGGGGAAGTGTGGGGGATCCAATTTTTTTTTTTTGAAAAAAATTATTGGTTTTTTTGGGTCTTGACACCCGCCTAGGCGGCCCAGCCCCCCCATTGCCTAGGCGGCCGCCTCCGACTTATTGAACATTGTTGGCTGGTATTGCTTTGATTTTTTTTTCTTTGTCACCTGTTCTTCCTTTTTCCTCATTTTTTTGGGGGGGCGGTGGGTGGGTGGGAGTGTGAATCCCTTGGTGAGTTGTTGAAATCCTTTTCCTAACAAATTAAAATTTAATTGGAGGACTTTGAAGCCATGTTACAATGTAGAGTAAACTTTGTTAAAACATATGGCCTCCAATGTTGCCGTTATGCTTGCATTGCATCAGAAGATCAACGGTGGACTTCGCTTACCATAGATCCTGTTAGTGTTGTTGAGTTAGAGGAAAATTATATGGCAATAATACGAGACATATTTTATTAAGTAAATTAAATAGAACTAATAGATGACGTTAAATCAATGTCTCATGAGAAAAGTACATTTACAATGAAATGTAGTAGTGCGCATTTTGTTTTTGTGAAAAATTGCTTTTCTTTTTCTAGAGATCAAATTTTGTTGTTCGTTTGTCCCACATATGTGCATTAAGTACGAGACATGCTTCTGATATGCTGTCTTTTATAGATATAAGGATTCCTACATTCTTTTGATCCTTGCGATATCCATGTTGCCCCCTGTATTATAAAATTTGTAACATTACTTATCTACTTAATTTGTGGTCATGGTCCAATCTCTTCCCTGTAATTTTCTTTAAAGATTGTTATGATCCAATAATGCGCTCCAACATCCTTCAATGTTTCTAAACTTTTCATATGTAGTTGTTATACGTCATTTTTGATGTACTTGTATCCCCCAGACGCATAAGGAGAGAGCCAGTAGCAACATGGTCTCGCCGGTGCACAAGACATCGCCAGACCATGGGAACACTGCAAAAAATAAGCCTAAAACTGTTCAACCTCTAAAGGAGTACTAAAACGGCTTCAAAATGCATGAAAAGGGTAGTTTGGGATACCCTAAGGACGCTCACAAAGTTTCGTTACATTCTGATAAGTTTTGATATGATCAGGATGAAACTTGGTTCTCAAATCCAGTTCTTTTTATGTTGAAAAATGATCCTATAACTACAGCCCTATTTCTAGGTATCAAAATAGTACTAGACCACTGCCATTAGATTCAGAACGTCGAAAAACTCTCAGGGACCAAATTTGGGCTACCTTCCAGGACCATTATGGGCCTAACTTACCATAAACGGGTGGGTTTTACACTATTGCGGTGCAGCCTCGATGAACCAGTTTTCATAAATGAAAACTGTGTTTTCCCATTTCGGGAAATGCTCATAACTTGCTCATTTTGAGTACAATTCAGCTCTAATTCGGACACAAGCTGGGTCTTGGCGACCCGGTGGTTTTGACATATGGCATGTGTCATGACATGGCCCGAAATGAGAGAATTTCTAGAGAGAAGATGAGCTCGAAAGCATGAGATTCAGATTTTATATATGAGAACATGCCATACTTCTTGAAGTCATAACTCAAAATCCCGGTGTCGGATCATCCAAAAATTAGGTTCGTTGCGACCGTATCGCGAAGGGCTATAGTTTGGTATAATTTTTACGCACAATCTGAGGCCGGATAGCACTAATTTCGAGGTTGAAAGAGGCACGATTTTTCGGTCGTCGGAATCCCATTTTCTAACGACTTCCCAAATTTGGAATACGCTCAAATGGAAACCAAATCAGAAGAAATTTATTGCAAAATGATCGTGACAATGTCCTCTTCAATTTGTGATCGAAATGAAGACTCGGAACGTCATAGACGGTACTGGATTGGCGGTTGAAGTTTATGGATTTGGTCGGATTTTTGGTTCTTCATAAAAAATTCGTTTCAAGACGATCAAAAGGTATCAAAATATTCGTAATAGATCAAGCATCGACTCTACGTCGATTGATCGCCCGTATTACCACCATAAGCGTTCCCAAAGTCTAGCAATGACAAGAGGCCCCTCATGGAGGAATGATTTTATCATTTGTTGAAAAGAACTAAGGGGTATTTTGGTCATTTAGTCCAAAAACGGGATTTTATTTTAATTCCATTAATATGTAATTTTTGACAATCTTGGTTACTTTTGAGCATTCCACCCATGTTATGTTGTTGCTCTATATAAATGAACCTAAGTCATTTGTATTGAATGTGCTTGCTCTATATATTGACGGTTGGAAAGGCTTGATCATTTTATGAAACTTGAGCATTAGAGAGCAAATTTTAGCTTATTATTTTTGCTTTGCTTCCAAGTTCTTGGTCAGGTTGAGAGGAGATTGAAACTTTTGGTAGAGAGTGAAAATACACCTAGACCATACACCATACCCTAGACTGTACACCTTACACCATAGTCCCTCACTAAACCATACATCCTAGTCCACACCTTTAGTCCATACACATACACACCACACCTTTGCCTTAACCCAAACCTAACCCCTCTCACTCTCACGTGCATGCAAAAAGGGTTCATATGGGTGCACCTAAGCTAGGACACTCCCAAGTCCATTCTCTCTCCTCTCCCTCTCCTTCCCCTTCTCTCTCTTCCCTCTTTCTCTCTATTCTCCTTTCCCATACCTAAACCCAAGGCTGCACCTAGCAACGGCCCTGACCTTCCTTCTCTTCTTCTCTCTTTGCTTTCTCTCCCCCCTTCTCTCTTTTCCTTATTTCTATCTCTTCTTCTCTCTTTCCCAGTCATAAGCTCAGAGCCGCACCTAGCAGCGGCCCCGGCTCTTCTCTCTCTTTTCCCCTCATCGTTCTTCTTCCCTCTTCCCTCTTCCCTCACGCATAAGCCCAGGGCCACACCTAGCAGTGGCCCCAACTCTTCTCTCTCTTTTCCCCTCTTCGTTCTTCTTCTTTCTTCTCTTACGCCCAGACCTAGGGCTGCACCTAGCAGCGGCCCTGGCTTCACCTCTCCCTTTCGTGTCTCTCTTTTCTCTTCCCCCTCCTTTCTTATTTGCTTAAGCTCAGCGGCCCCGAATCTTCTCTCGCTTTTCCCCTCATCGTTCTTCTTCCCTCTTCCCTCACGCATAAGCCCAGGGCCACACTTAGTAGTGGCCCCAGCTCTTCTCTCTCTTTTCCCCTCTTCGTTCTTCTTCTTTGTTCTCTTATGCCCAGACCTAGGGCCGCACCTAGCAGTGGCCTCGGCTCCACCTCTCCCTTTCGTGTCTCTCTTTTCCCTTCCCCCACCTTTCTTATTTGCTTAAGCCCAAGGCCGCACCTGAGTGCGGGTATGGCTTCTTGCCCTCTTGTCTTCCTTTCTCTTTGCTTGTTCTCCCTATCCACTGTTAAACCTGGAGCTGCACCTGAGGGTGGCCCTAGCATGTCTCTCCCACGCCACCTTTTTCTCCCCCTCTCATTATCTCCAAATTTCACTCCCTCTTGTCTCTCTTGTGTGTCTATCTCCCTCTCTACCCAGAGCCGCACCTAACAGCGGGCCTAACTCCGCCCCCCTCTTTTCTCTCTTGTGTGTTTATCTCCCTTTCTACCTAGGGCCGCTTTCTTGCACGTCTATCTCCCTCTCTCTCACTCTCTCCAAATCTAATTTATTCTCTTCCCCATCTGCCCCTCGATTGACTCTTCTAACCGCCCTTATCTTGCAACTCTCCTAACCGCCCCTTCTCTCCATTCTCTCTAGCGCCTCTATCTCTATCTCGTCCCCATCCACTCCTTCTCTCCATTCTCTTCATCAATACTTATCTCTC